GTGGTGCTGACAATACCAAGTCAAGGGTTAAGATCCCCTTACCGGTCATCTTTTAAAAAAATTTAAAAAATAAAAAATAAAAAGAATGAATGAATGAGTGAATGCCCAAATTTTAAAATAGCATATTAGCCAATTTCTTGTCTACATTGTTTGTTTAGGAGGGAAAAAGAACACTCAAACATCTGAAATATTTCTCTAAAACTTTATTTCAAAGTTATTCGCCTCACTGTTAATAAGGTGTATGGTTAATGGTCTGTGCCAGTATTACCAGGCCTGCCCATTGCCGGCAATGGACTTTGAGAAAACCCATGTCCTGGCACCCAAAAGTTAAATTACTCTGTTGAAACATACCAAACTCCCAATACTTGTAAAAGTATTACATGCACAATTTTCCCACCATTCTTTAAATCTAAACTTACATTATTAATCTACATCAGTGGATGTTAAAATTAAGTCATTTTAACAAATTATGACTGTACAAATCAAAATACTACTAGTTAATATTAGACAAGAATATCGTACAAACACATTACATGTTACCTTGCAATCTGAAACATTACATTTCATATTTATGTATGTTCACTTTAGATAACTGAAACTTCACAGAATTTAACAGCAATTAAAGTTTAAAAAACTTATTTCTGTACATTAGTTCCAACTATCTCTATTTTACAATCTATAAGGCTCATGTCATAGTTCAGCACCAAAAAGATCTACAAAATCATCTATCCAATCTTCTTATTCATTCCATATGATAGTTTTTGTTTGCTGTTTTCTTTAATCAAAAGTCTGAGAAAATGCTTTATAAATTCTACTTCTAGACCTTGAAGTGGAATAGTCTTTTTGGCTAATCAGACTACATAAAAAACTTGGGCTGTACCTTCTTATTTTTATTGAACAAATTTTTTTTAAAAAAAGGAAAAGAACTCATATACCATGAGTTTAGGTTGTCAGTTCATAAATTGAATTTATAACACTGAAGCATCAAAAGTAACTTAATAATGCCCTGCCCGTATTGTTCCTTTCCATTTAAAAATCTTTAAAAGGCAGCCAGAAAAATGTTTCATTTATCTATTAAAATAAGGTGCAAAGAAGGATTCCAACAACAAACTTCCTCATACACACCTCCAACAACATCTCAATGCTATTCAGCATAATCCCTCATGAACTGATTCAAGGGCACATCCAGAGCTGTATCCACAGCTCCCAAATGCACCACATTTTCTATACCAGAAGCCTGCTCAATGCTAGAGTCTCTCTATTCAAAGGTCATTACAATAACTTTTGCCATGGCTAGCCTGGACTGAAAGCAACATTCCAGACCCCAGAACCAGCTCTTTTCTTCCTTTTCCAGATTTATAAATTTTAGGAGAAAAACACATTTGTCTTGCCACTTTCAAACACGGTTTGTGCACATCACATTTTGAGACCACATTCCCCAAGCTAGAAATGTTTTTCAAAAACCACAGGTACTTTTAGTAATCTTGTTTGTTCAAGTACAAAATTCTTAAATGTTTAAAAAATTTTTTAAATAGGAGACTAGTACCTCTGCTTTCTTCTGACAGAAGCACACAATTCATTATACCATGTTTAAAAACTAAACTTCATGCATACAAATGGCCAAAGAGGTATGAAATTTTACAGAGCCCTTAACATCATTCGAATACATTTAGCATTGAATAGACCACAAGAAGCATATTAGCAAATTAAGCAAAGAGATCCTCCCAAGAACACGATAGTTTTCCAGGCTCCATGTCAGTCACATAAAAATTAAAACAACATGTTCATCCTTTAAAATTGTCCCCAGACTTCCCATTGCTCCAACCGTTTCCCACACCCATAACCCCACCCCCACCCTGAGGTCTTACACCTCAGAGTATCTTAATGTTCTCCGTTACTAATGACAGCTGCTTCAGATTCTGCTGCTGTTGCAGGGAGTCTTGGCACTTTCTTAGCAGGGCTTGGAATATGCTAAAAAGAAAGAAAAAAGTTATTGCCTCTTATGATTTTTTTTCTGCAAGAATCATGGTACTAATTAAAGTTCCTGTAGAGAAACTAATAAAGAACAATTTTGGAGAGGTTTATATTAAATATGTATTCTTTATAACTTTTCATGAAGAGAACTAAATATCCATTCTTAACTTTATGGTGAATTTGTTATACAATTATCCACATAGCAAGAGAGAGAAAGAAGGCCACAGAGATCCACCACTCACAGTATTTTACTTGTTACATCTTATATTCACATCTCAAGCAGTGGTGGCTTGCCTTGCTACCCAATCTGTGTAATAGAAAGAAGCAAGACTATGTATTTACCAAAGTTGTGATAAGCAGATAAAATAAATAACTTCAAGGTTATAAAGTTCTCAATTTGAAACCTGTTTCACCACTTACTAGCTATGATCCTGGACAAGTAATTTAACTTCTTGGAGCCTCATCTCTAAAATGGGGATAGTATCATTTCTAAACCTCAAGGAGATTGTTGTAAGGATTAAATAATAAAACCTAAGTAAAGTGCCCAGCACATAATAGGAATTCAAATCATAGCTATTCTCGTTACTTCCTGACAATCTAGAGATAGATTTTGACAATGGTCTGAGAGGTGAGATGTGAAGGGCTCAACACCCTGCCCCTACTCCATCTCTTACCAAGACACATACCATAAATGAACCTTCTCTCTAGGCTTGTCTTCCTTTACATTCTGGTATTATTAATAAAATCTAGTGTTTACTGCGCACTTTTAAAATGCTAATAATTCAAGTGCAAAGCAGTTTATACAATTGGAAATGGCACAGCTGGAATCTCATCCCAGAACCCCTGCTCTGAATTACTCTGCTTTACTGATATTAAGTTGCTAAATCTCAGTTATGTCCCCTAAACTGTGAGATTTGGGGATGAAAACGTCTTACCCTGTCACAGAATGAGACTAACACAATAAGCCTAACTTACCTCAGTTGCTGTGTCTGAATGCACAAGTCCTACTCCTTCATCCAAAGTGTCGTCATTTGGAGAAGGGCGCCGAGCATAAGTTCTTCTGTGCTTTTCATCCACTCTAACTAGGTACCACGTTCCTTCAAAGAGTGAATCTATTGAACCCTGGGGAATATAGTTGACTAAAGGAAAGGCAGAAAATACAAAAAATTAGTTACAATATACAACTCATCTGGTATAAAACTAAAGATAAGAAATTTCATAATTCTCTCCAATTTCCACTGACATCAGATTAGTACTGAATAAAGTCTTAATATCCTTTCTTATATGTAGCATGTTTAATGTTATCATAGTGCCCCAATAGACTTTTGCATTTATTTAAACAAAATTTAATATTTTTACCCAAGTGATGAGTGTCCTCTCTGAGCTTCATCGTTTCAGCAAAGACATCTGGTGCCACACAAGTTCTTGAGTCAAGTCTTGACTTGAGATCACTTAAGCTTGTTGTTATTTTATCAAGAGCAGACCCTAAAATAGTTAATAATTCCAACATTAAAACACTAAAAATGGCATGCCCAAAAGAAGCTTGAATGAAAGGTTACCAAATGAAAAAAACCTTTCATTTCTTTTAGAACTACCTGCTATTGTTTAGTTGAAAGATAAGATAGTATCTATTTGACATAGCTTCCTATGACCTCTGATCAGACATTTATTCAATGTCAGCCAGTGGACAAGTTAGGAAACAGATGGGATTTGAAAGTATAAATAACTTGTCTATAGTTAATCCATAGTATAATTTTAAAGTAATGCCAAGTTTTCATGAGTTTTTCTCCATGCTTTTGCTCCTTCCTGTTCAGGAAAGGCACAAAAGTTTCCTGAAATATAGCTAAGACCATAAACCTATAAAAATTAGACAACTTAGTCCAACTCTTTATCCAGTTAAGGCAGGTTTTTAGGCTTGAGAGTAAAAATCTAGCTATATTGAAATTGAAAAAGTAATAAAGATTAAAATGTTGTAATGATCTATGGGACAGATTCACATGCTCACTTGAGAAGCCTGCTGAATCAACCTCACCACAGCAGGTTTTCAATACATTCTTGTGCAAGACTCAGCACATACCTGGTGTAGCATCTTGTGTAACCTTAAGAGAATATAGGGTGGCAGCCAAACCAGAACCATAAGAGAACACTCCAATTCTCTTCCCTGCCAATTGCTGAGATGAGTACCTACGTAAGGTGAAAAAATAGTTAAGAAGTTTAACAGATCCAAAACTACAATGTGTGGAAAACCACATAAGTGGAAATAAAAATTCATACTATAGGTTAAAGTAAAAATCTAACTTAAAGTTTTAATACTGCAGTAAAAGCAGATTGAAAACAAGAGTTTTCATTGTTGGAAGAATGATGGGGCTTACGAAAGTTATTATACTACAAAATAAGTTACTTTGTCCACAGGGGATATATGGTTCAACTGTAGGTCAAGAATAATAAGACCATAAAAATAGGAGTCAGGAAAGCCAGGGTGAAATTAACCAATACTTCTGGAAGAACCGTAGCCTCAACTCATATATCCTTCCAGTCAATGGATAATAGCAGACCATATAAGTATCATTCTGTTATCTAAGCACCAACATGCCTAACTCCAGATGTGGTCTAGAAATCTAACATTCCCAAATGAAGGGAATTAAGCAGCTGAAACTTATACTTACTGCGCTAGAACAGAAGCAAGGGAACCATATACTGAAGATGTGTACATATTTCCATTTTGATTTGATACAAGCAAAGATGCCTTTGTTTTCTGATTAAAGAGTTCAGAACTAGCCTTCATAAAAGCCTTTTCCACATCTCTATCAAAGTAGGTATCTTCTAATTTAACATCCCTGATAGAAATATAAAAAAAAGACAATCTTACAGTGTTCAAAGACAGCCTTTTCTTCTTTAGTATATTAGATAGTGGGCCTTATTATTATTCCAATCTGTAAGTGTGTATGATTCTGTTTTCCCATTTATTAAAAGTCAAATAGCAGCATGCTAACTGCTATGGAAGACATGCTAGTTGTACATATTTGGTCCTCTTCTTCAAGGTTTTTATAGTCAAGACAACTTGATTCTACTGGATTAATAGACCTATTGAAGCTTTATTATCACCCAACAGAATACAGTACTATTTCAAGTCAATAATAATGTCTGTTCTGTTAGAAAAGTCATGGTATTATAGGAGCCAAGTCTTAAAAATCGAGTAGAATTTTGTCAGATGGAGAAGGGACACGGGCAGGGAGAAAGAGAATGAGTTTAACATGCATAGCATGCGAGGAAGTCTAAAAAGTGAGAGAAAGGGCCGGCCTGGTGGCGCACTGCTACAGTGCGCCGCTTGGGAGCATGGTGGCGCTCCCGCCGAGGGTTCGGATCCCACATACAGACCGGTTCCCGCTCACTGGCTGAGCGAGGTGTGGGAGCAACACCGAGGGTTGCGATCCCGTTGCCGGTCCCGGTCCGGTACGGGCGTGACACTGAGGGTTGCGATCCGTTGCCGGACACGAAAAAAAAAAAAAAAAAAAAAAAGGGAGAGAAAGATGGATGGAGTAAGAAGCAGACTTCCATAGGGGCACAGGGGCGAGAGAAGCGGGGGGGAGGGTTAAGGG